AACGAGATTTATAGTGGTTCGACAAATAAATTTGCCTACATCCACTGTTATCGAAATATTCCGCCTCTCGACCTCTTCCACTATATGATCGACTATCTCGCACGATCACTCCTCTTACAAGATAGCGGATCTTTCTATCCGAGACTTTGCCTAACCTCTTACACAATGTCGATTTTCTACGGAGATTTACCAACCAACAAACCCAATACGAAAGTAATGATTATGAATAGTGAATTACTCAGTCATACACTCCTAACAATGGTTTTACACAATTAAAATGACTAGGAGATGATGAAATCACACTATCAAAATATAATCCAAGATAGGCTCAAGTATGTGTGAGAGAGTGAAGTAAGGATTTTGAGAAGATGATGATTATGATGGCACTTTAGAGAAACCTTTTTGGATTTTTAAGAGATTTGGGAGCTTTGAACAATTTCTCTATTTCCAGGAAAATCCGCAGAAGAGAAAAATGACTTTTCTCTATTTAACCTCACTTTCCAACGGTCTTATTTTTGACCGTTTACCCAGTACCGGTCGACCGGAGCGGTTGACTAGTGAGACAAATTTGAATTCTCGCTGTTCAATGGTGTTATTAAGTATCTGTTGAATAGAACCGGTCGACCGGAGCGGTTGACCGGTTGAGGCAGCACCGGTCGACCAGTGCATATAGCCTTCTCTGTCACCGGACGACATAGGTCGACTGCTTGACACTTAGTTTGCCTCAAACCTTTACAAAATTGTTCTTTTAGGCCAAATGTCATTATGCACTTAGTTTAGTCTCATTTTTAAAAGAATAATGTGAGTGTGTGCATGAGCCTAAACAAGAATTAATCATCATAGTATGAAGTCAAAATCAAATACAAGACTAAAGAGAGATAAAAACCTATTAGTACTTGTCTTGCTTGATTTTGTTTGCTTGCTCTTGATCTTTGGTATTTCAACACTTCAAGCCTTGAATTCCTTCTTCAATTTGCATTTCTCAACCTTGAATGTATTTGCATTGTATTCTACAATGTGCTTCTTGAGTTGATTTATAATATCAATCATGCTAAATACACGACTCAAAGTAGAATCATTAGTAACATAATACATTGTGTTTGTTATCATCAAAACATGAGAATATTCAGCCTTGGGCCAGCAACCTTTTCTTCCTTGTATTTGGCAACGCAGACCAATTAACTTCGTGGTTAACTAGAAATTTACTTTACCTACCGCTAGTCAAGTAGTGCCTATTTGCCTGCCCTACCATAAATTATGCATTTTTCTTATGCCAAAATAGTTTACTTTTAATTCTGTCATAATTTTACACTTTTTTTATTAAATATATATGTATCAATCAATATTGGGCCTTTTTAGTTTGCTCACTTAAATTTTTAATTCGAGTTGAAATGTGACTTTATGCGAGAGCTTTTTACTATAGTAAAAAAGTTAAATGTAATTATTTCTAAGAACTTTTTATTGTAGCAAAACTCGAATTCTAAAGTCAAATCAGTAAAATGAACAGGGTCTTAGTCTAAAGAATAGTTTTCTCTAACAGCTGCATTTCAATAAATCATGTTGTTTATGTTAACGTGAATATGTTTGCAGAATGGAATCTACTCTCCACACTGGCACTTGAACGGCCACAATGTTATCTATGTCTTGAGGGGCATGGCAAGGATTCAGGTGGTAGACCATTTTAGATAGGGCCAGATCCTGAATGTGCCATAGCACCACACCGTGGTAAAGCCAGCTAGCAACAAGGGATTTGAGTGGGTGTCATTAGAGTTATCAAATGGATCTCGGCCCATCCCGTAACAGTGTCAAATTCGGCATAGCCTGATAAGGTAATGTTACGGGCCGTGTCGACCCAGCCCGTTTGATGGGCTAAGGCTGGGCCGTGGCTTCTCAGCCCGCGGCTTAGGCCCTGTCCTAGCCCTTGAAGTTGGCAGCCCGGCCCAAGCCCAGTTTGGCCCAAGCCCGAATTCGGCCCGACTGTTGGGCCCTACAAGCCGAAAATATGCCTAAAAATCCCCTATAAATACCCCTTAATCCCACCATAAATCTCACACAATAATTCACTCTCAACTTCTCATCTCACTCTCATTCTATCTCTCATATTGTCTCTTTGATTTTGATTCTAAGCTTTTCTCTCGCGATTACTCATTTTCTTGCTCTTTTATTTACAAAGTTCAATTAATTTTCAGAAAATGGTCACCTTAAATTCCCCTGATTTCACAGCTCTCTCTCAGCTTGGTGATTAGTCATTTTTTGAAGATGAAATGTTGGCTCACAACCTGTCACGCCCCCCAAACGGGGTGGGTGACGTGGAACTCGATTTGGGATTAATAAAGCAGATTCCCAACCGGGTCCCACACTTAACTGCATAAAAATCTAAATAAACGACATAATCCAAGAGCCTCTGACACATAGGGCTCCACCCCACAGGACATACAGTATCGTACATACATGCACATGTAAATAATCAATTACAATAGACATCATCCACTGTCTAGTAAATCCAATATTAAATAGGTTTACATAATTTCTCAAATTCCTTACATTTGTTCAAGAGGATAAACTCAATCCTCACTTGATCCAACATTAACCTCACTTTCCAACGGTCTTATTTTTGACCGTTTACCCAGTACTGGTCGACCGGAGCGGTTGACTAGTTGAGACAAATTTGAATTCTCGCTGTTCAATGGTGTTATTGAGTATCTGTTGAACAGAACCGGTCGACCGGAGCGGTTGACCGGTTGAGGCAGCACCGGTCGACCAGTGCGTATAGCCTTCTCTGTCACCGGACGACATAGGTCGACCGTTTGACACTTAGTTTGCCTCAAACCTTTACAAAATTGTTCTTTTAGGCCAAATGTCATTATGCACTTAGTTTAGTCTCACTTTTAAAAGAATAATGTGAGTGTGTGCATGAGCCTAAACAAGAATTAATCATCATAGTATGAAGTCAAAATCAAATACAAGACTAAAGAGAGATAAAACCTATTAGTACTTGTCTTGCTTGATTTTGTTTGCTTGCTCTTGATCTTTGGTATTTCAACACTTCAAGCCTTGAATTCCTTCTTCAATTTGCATTTCTCAACCTTGAATGTATTTGCATTGTATTCTACAATATGCTTCTTGAGTTGATTTATAATATCAATCATGCTAAATACACGACTCAAAGTAGAATCATTAGTAACATAATACATTGTGTTTGTTATCATCAAAACATGAGAATATTCAACCTTGGGCCAGCAACCTTTTCTTCCTTGTATTTGGCAACGCAGACCAATTAACTTCGTGGTTAACTAGAAATTTACTTTACCTACCGCTAGTCAGGTAGTGCCTATTTGCCTGCCCTACCATAAATTATGCATTTTTCTTATGCCAAAATAGTTTACTTTTAATTCCGTCATAATTTTACACTTTTTTTATTAAATATATATGTATCAATCAATATTGGGCCTGTTTAGTTTGCTCACTTAAATTTTTAATTCGAGTTAAAATGTGACTTTATGCGAGAGCTTTTTACAATAGTAAAAAAGTTAAATGTAATTATTTCTGAGAACTTTTTATTGTAGCAAAACTCGAATTCTAAAGTCAAATCAGTAAAATGAATAGGGTCTTAGTCTAAAGAATAGTTTTTCTCTAACAGCTGCATTTCAATAAATCATGTTGTTTTTGTTAACGTGAATATGTTTGCAGAATGGAATCTACTCTCCACACTGGCACTTGAACGGCCACAATGTTATCTATGTCTTGAGGGGCATGGCAAGGATTCAGGTGGTAGACCATTTTAGATAGGGCCAGATCCTGAATGTGCCATAGCACCACACCGTGGTAAAGCCAGCTAGCAACAAGGGATTTGAGTGGGTGTCATTAGAGTTATCAAATGGATCTCGGCCCATCCTGTAACAGTGTCGAATTCGGCATAGCCTGATAAGGTAATGTTACGGGCCGTGTCGACCGAGCCCGTTTGATGGGCTAAGGCTGGGCCGTGGCTTCTCAGCCCACGGCTTAGGCCCTGCCCTAGCCCTTGAAGTTGGCAGCCCGGCCCAAGCCCAGTTTGGCCCAAGCCTAGATTCGGCCCGACCGGTGGGCCCTACAAGCCGAAAATATGCCTAAAAATCCCCTATAAATACCCCTTAATCCCACCATAAATCTCACATAATAATTCACTCTCAACTTCTCATCTCACTCTCATTCTATCTCTCATATTGTCTCTTTGATTTTGATTCTAAGCTTTTCTCTCGCGAGTACTCATTTTCTTGCTCTTTTATTTACAAAGTTCAATTAATTTTCAGAAAATGGTTGCCTTAAATTCCCCTGATTTCACTGCTCTCTCTCAGCTTGGTGATTAGTCATTTTTTGAAGATGAAATGTTGGCTCACAACCCTACCCCTACTGAACCGGAAATTGTTCCAGTTGATAATGTTTCAGTGCACAACGAGAAAGTTAGAGAACGTAGCAGGGGAAAAAGACTGCGAACTGCTCTTGCATGACAGCATTTCACAGAAGAGCCCCGACCAAATCTAAAAACATGTGAAATGAAAATTCTTGCGGTATGTAAATATTGTAAAAATCACTTTTCTAATAAAAATAGTGGGGGTATTAGTCATCTGGATAGACATTGAAAAATATGTCTACCATTGCGCCAAGGTAGGAGTGTGGACTCCCGCCAACAAACACTATCACTCACATCATAAGGGTTGCAAAATGTTACATACGATGCACAACGTGCTCGTGAGGCACTAGCTAAATTTTTAGCTAGTGCCGAATGACCTCTTTCTTTTGCAGATGATGCGGCATTCGAAGAATTCATATATAGGGCTTTCTGCCCACAATTTAAATGGGTAAGTAGAAACACAACTCGTTCTGATTGCATGAAAGTATTTTATGCAATGAGACAATCACTAGTTGATAATTTTAGGTCTTTTAATGCTACTATATATTGCAATTCTGATCTTTGGGAGGGGTACAATAAAACTAGATATTTATACATCACGGCGCATTATGTTGACAATGAATGGGTTTTACAAAAGAGAATAATAGGTTTTCATTTATGTGCATTTCCTCATAACGTAAATGCTATTTTTGGAACAATAATGGATATTTTTGGGTTTTATGGGATATAAGACAAAGTTTTAACAATTACTTTTGATAATGCGTCAGCTAACACGACTATAATTAACATGTTTAAACGTAGTTTGAAATCAACTTTTAGGGGTGATTAACGCCCAAAAGTGATGTTCACAAGCGGTCAATTGTAGCACATAAGGGCGGTCGTATCCACAGAGAGATAACAAAATAACAAGAAAGATTAGCAAAATAAGAGCGTTAGAGAAAAATAAATAATAAGTGAATTAAGGAAAAAGAAGAGTTTTTGAAGACTTTGTTGCAAATAAAAAAGAGAGAAGATTTGTGTGGAAGAAATTCAGTAGTAAAAAGGGTAAGGTGTCGAGAATCCCTAATGCTTCGTTCACCAATTCATGTTTTGATTCACAAAATAAAAGAATCGAATAAATTAAATGTCTGTGTTGACTCTGAAAATATTATCATTACAAGTTATCCAGAATCGACAATATATCAATTTGACAATATTGCAGTAAAAGACAATTTGTAAAATAATTTGAATAACAAAACAATGCGTGTCAGAATTACATAAGAAAAGCATGACTGGACTTATATAAAACTTAGCACACAATATTTTGAAACGTAAAAGAAAGATAGATGAGATTTAATTCATTCAGATATTGAACTTTATAGCACAAGGAATCAAAAGCCCGAATTGGGTCACTCAACAAAAGTTCATCTCTAACCTCACCAAGAAAACTCTAGCCTAGCTTGCAAAATATTCTCACAAGTTCTGGAGAGAAAATATGAGACTGACAGCAAGACGACAGAAAACTGAATATTTAAAACTTCCAAAAACCTTAGGCTAACCCTATTATTTATAGTGTTTAGAGGATGCCTGTCAAATAAAGAAACAAATAATAAAAATAGAAAATTACAAAGAAAAAGGAAACAAAATAAAATTACACACAAATTAGGAGAAATTAAATATATGATTTGGGGAAGAAATCTAGCAACTCGCGGAGAAGAAATCCAGATTCGGCACCTCATCTGGACACGTGTCGCAAGGTGATTGGCAGTGAGGAGACAAAGCGCCACGTGTCGCGCGCGAAATGGTTGGAGCTTGCTGGCGCGATCAGAGTGGAGGACAGTTGTAGGACAAATGGTGCGCATTCATTGGGAAGTCCGGCTGGCATCGCAGGTGTGGGACCTGCGTTGGACAGGTGACGCGTGCGAAGAGAGCCGCAGGTCTGCTGCTGTCGTGTGGGACCCATGCAAAAAATGGGTTGGAATGCGCTGGAGCTCGTGCGAAAGAAGGACACGCGCCCTGGGAGTCTTTCGTACAGGTGACGCGCGCACGATGGAGTGGGGAACGCGGGAGAGCCGGGGCCCACGCGAAAATCTGCTTGTGGCTTTGGCTCACGCGGCTCTCTCTCTACATGGCTCGGCTTGGTGGCTCGGATTGGTTTAAAATATGGCTTTCATGGCTTCTTCTTGTGTAGCTTTTTACACTGCTTTCATCTGTAAATAATTAAGCAAAATCTAGACAAATTCTAATTAAAAATATTATGAATAAAAATAATTGAATTGTTTAATTAAAGCTCAAATATTTTAATATTATATAAATCAAAAGTAGTATTTAGGGTGCATTTTTATGCACTAATCAATGGGCGAAATTTTTCATTAACGGTGTGCGTGTCACATAATAAATTTAGTAGTACAAGCGTGGATTGAACATATTTCCTTTAATCTAACAAATATTAGAGATTCTTTATCCTTCATATCTAATTTTGGAGCTTGGCTCCCAGAATTCTGACAATATTGCAGGAACAGCCAGATGCGCCCAAGAAAGTTCCCAACTGAAGTGAGACATAGGTGGAACTCCACCTATTTAATGTTGAAAGTTGCACTTTCGTATCAACAGCTCATCACAACGTACGTGAACAACAAGAATGATAAGCTTTTAATTTTCGATATTGATTGGAAGATTGATAAGTACTTTTTTAAATTTCTAAAAGTTTTCTACAATACTACTGAATTACTTTCTAGAGTTTATTATCCTACTGCACATTTAGCTTTGCATTAATTATTTAATATTTCGGAAACATTTTCTTTTTATAGGGATACTTAACTTTTTGAAACTATAGCTAAGCTAATGGAAGCTAAATTTAAAAGTTATTGGTCCGGTTGTTCTATGTTATATGTATTAGCAACCATTTTAAATCTTAGGTGCAGAGTAGATATGACTGAATCTTTGATGACTGCTACGACAGAAAATTTAAGTATTGATATGCAACTAACTATTACTGATGCTAGGAAAATGTTAGAAAAATTATTTAGTTTGTATGAAGTGAAATACAAAACAGGTCAAAAAGAACATGGAACTTCGATATCAATTAGCAGTTCGAGGCCTAAAGGCTCATCGTGGAGCTTCCTGAAGAAGAAAGAGAAAACGTTAGGATCGTCATCAACACAAATGTCTACCGAACTGGTAAAATATTTTAAATCAAATTTTGTAATCGAAAACGACAAACTGGACATCTTACAGTGGTAGAGGAGCAAGACCGATTGTTTTCCAACACTGTCCATAATTGCCCGCGACATTCTGACAACTTTAGTGTCAACGGTAGTATCGGAGCAAGCATTTAGTGCAAGCAACCGAATTCTTGACGAGAAGAGAAGCAAAATGTATCCGGATATCTTGGAGGGGCTAATGTGCGTCAAAGACTGGGAAGATGCCAGAAGAAGAAAACATCACTATACGGATGATTCAATTCAAGATTATTTTTCTAACTTAGACATAACAAAATCTTCTAGAAACACTTAGGTTTTGTAATTTACTTATCCTAGAATACCGCACTATTTTTTCCTTCGTTAAGGTTTTGTCCCGATCTCCCCACAAGTTTTACTTGGCAAGGTTTTTAACGAGACAATCATTTATATGTACTTATTCAATAAAAACACATCTTTTGAGGGTATATGATATATATATATTTAATTAAATATTGCAAAAACATTTAAAAGGATCAGGGCCGACCCGTCAAGGGCCTGAGCCTGGGCCCGGCCCTGGCCCTTATAGACTAAGACTGAGGGCCAGTGCTGGGCTTGAGGGTTTCTCCTCAGGCCCGGCCCAGCCTTGGGGTTAAAAGGGCTATGCCGGGCTTTTGACAACTCTAGGTGTCATTCAAGACGAATGACAACCCTTGGATCAGCCCCCTCGCTGGATGCACCTCCGTCATTCGTGCCCTACCGGAAGCTGTCCCCATGAACGCCTACCAAATCTCTAGGGACCAGGCCCAGAGGGTCAAGTACAACCGGGAAGAGACCTTGTTGAGCTCATCCAGATCTTCTGAGAGGAGGGCTATTGCCTAAATATCCACAGTAACAACTAAAGGAGAGAACGTATTGGGCACGTAGCTTTTCTTGAGGTTTATAGGGTATTTAGAAGTAGGTAGATAATAACAAGAAATGGCCTTTTTGTCAGGCTTGGAGAGCTTCTATGAATATTATGCATCTATAATAAATACTCGTTCACTTCGCTGATTCGAGTTTGTAATTTGAGTTAAGATGTGATTTTATGTGAAAGCTTTTTACTGTAGCAAAAAAGT